GGAATAGGAGGGAACATCCTCAATTTGATAAAGAACATTGTCTTAGTTAACTACTGCTGCTACAGCAGAAATACCACAACTGAATGGCTTTAACAAACAGAAGTCTATTCTCTCACAGTCTAGTAGGCTACAAGTCCAAATTCAGGGCATTAGCTCTAGCGGAAGGCTTTCTCTCTCTGTCGGCTCTGGAGGAGGGTCCTTGTCATCAATCTTCCCCTGGATTAGAAGAAGCTCCTGCGGACCTTCTGGGTCCAAAGGGATACTCTCTGCTCTTGGCACTACTTTCTTGGTGGTATGAGGTCCTGCTGTCTTTCTACTTACTTCTCTCTTTTATATCTCAAAAGAGATTGACTTAAAACACTTCCAAATCTTATAGATTGAGTCCTGCCTCATTAACATAACTGCCTCTAATCCTGCCTCATTAACATCACAGAGGTAGGATTTATAACACATAGGAAAATCACATCAGATCACAAAATAGTGGGCAATCACACAATACTGGGAATCATGGCACAGCCAAACTCACACACATTTTGGGGGACAGAGTTCAATTCATAACAAACATCTACAAAAATTCCACAGTAACATCATACTAATGGTGAAAGACTGAATGCTTTCCCCTATGATCAGAAAAGGCAAAGGAACTAGAATAGCTAAAATGATTTTGAAAAGAATACAATGAGAGGAATTGGTTTACCCAGTTAAAAGGATTACATAGCTACAGTAATCAAGACTGCATGTTTCTGGCAGAGAATTAGACACATAGATCCATGTAACAGAACAGAGAACCCAGAAACAGACCCATATAAATATACCCAATTGATTTTTGACAAAGGTGCAAAAGTAATTCAGTGGGGGAAAAAAAAGTCTTTTCAACAAATGGTGCTGGAACAATTGGCCATCCAGAGGCAAAAATAAATAAATAAATCTCAATCTAAGTCTCATCCCTTATATAAAGATTAACCCAAAATAGATCACAGACTTTAATGTAAAACATAAAACTATAAAACTTATGGGAAAATAAAAAGGGAACTATGTTCAGGGTCTAGAGCGAGGCAAAGAGTTCCTAGACTTGACACCGAAAGCACTATCCGTAAGAGAAAAAATTGATAAACTGGACATCAAAAGTAAAAACTTTTACTCTGTGAAGTACTCTGTTAAAAGGATGAAAAGGAAAACTGCATAATGGAGAAAATATCTGCAAACTACATATTTGACAAAGGACTAGTATCTAGAATATACAAAACCAAAAAAAAAAAAAAAAAAAGTACTATCTTACATTGCTAATGAGAATAAAAAAAAACGCAGCAGCTCTCGAGTTGATTCCGACTCATAGTGATCCTATGAGGACAGAGTAGAACTGCCCCACAGGGTTTCCAAGGAGCAGCTGGTGGATTCAAACTGTCAACCTTTTGGTTAGCAGCTGAACTCTTTACTACGCCAACAGGGTTTCCAGAATATATAAAGAAATCTTAAAACTCAACAGTAAAAAAATAATCAAATGAGAAAATGAATAGACAATTTAACTGAAAAGGATACAGATGGCACAAAAGCACATGAAAAGATGTTCAGTATCATTAACCATTACAGAAATGCAAATTAAAACCATAATAAGATATCATTACACATCTATCAGAATGACTAAAATAAAAAATAGTGACCACAACTAATGCTGGCAAGGATGCAAAGAAACTGAAATCACCTACACACTGCTGATGGGAATGAAAAGTGGTACAGACACTGTGGAAAACAGTTTGGCAGTTTCTTAAAAAACTAAGCATGCCACTATCATATGACCCAGCGACTGTGTTCCTGGGCATTTATCCCAGAGAAACGAATACTCACGTTCATGCAAAAACCTATACATGAATATTTATAGCAGCTTTATTTGTGTTAGCCAAAAAACCGTAAACAACTCAGATGTCTTTCAATGGATGAATGGTTAAACAAACTGTGGTACATCCAATCATGGAATACTACTCAGCAATAAAAAGGAACAACCATTGATACACACAACAATCTGGATGAATCTTCAGAGAGTTATGCTGAGGGGAAAAAAGCCAACCCCCAAAAGGCTACATATTGCATGCCTGCATACTGCATATCACATTCTTGAAATGACAAAATCAGAGAAATGGAGAACACATTAGTGGTTGACAGCAGTTAAGGAGGGGGTGGGAGCATGGTGGAAGTGGGTGTGGCTACAAAAGGGCAACATGAGATCCTTGCGGTGATGGAAATGCTCTGTATCTTGACTGTATCAATGTCAGTATCTTGGTTGTGATACTCTGCTACAGTTTTGCAAGATGGAACCACTGGGGGAAACGGGATAAAGAGTGTGCAGGATCTCTCCGAGTTATTTCTTACAACTGCATGTGAATTTACAACTATCTCATCATAAAATGTTTCATAAGAAAAACTTTACACACAAATATCTGTCTGTAGCTTACTTTATAAACAACTGCATACACACATCACATACACAAAGAAATGTTGGCAACTGATGACTCCAGGTGTATTAATCTTTCAACTTTTCTTAGAGGTTTGAAAGTTTGAAAATAAAACATTGAGGGAAAAGAAATAGTGTCTATTTATTTCACCGATCCTCCACTTTCTTATTTGAAATGTTTCATATCAAGCTCGCGCCCATCTGGCTGACCTCTGGGCTTCCATGTGCACCCACAGTCTAGAGAAAAAGATGACAACCATGTGGCAGTGGCCTTTAAAGTCTGATCTAAAGAGGATTAAAAAACATCCTGACAACCGGAGATGGATCATGTTACATGGTAAAATGCAATCACTCAATTTTTACTCTGGAAAAAAAGTGGCACTATTATCATTCTGCTCAGCATACCCAGAAAGCATACAGTTTCATGCCTGTCAATATGAAGGAAATTTTTTTTTGCTTTTCTTTTTTGAAGCGTGAGTTTGTTTATTTCTCTCCAGTAAAAGAACACCATGAGGCAACGCCTAGAACTACTTCAGGCTGTTCTGGAAAATCTAACTGGCCTGCCTATGGATAGCCCAGTGGTCAAGAGCACTGGCTCTGGAATCACACAGACCTGGGTTCAAATCACCAACCATCTGGGCCTCAGTGAAAAATGGCAATGATAACAGGATTAGTGTGGGGCTTCTTGTGAGGATTTAATGGTATAAACTATGTAAAATGCTTAGCACAAAGTAAGAGCCCAATTATTATTTCATTACTATTATTAAGCATTTAAAAACTACTTCATTAAGGCAAAGCAGCCAAAAAATAGATTTTTACAAGAATAATTCATGAAATTACTTTAAAGGTAATTCTTAAGGTTAACATTAAGTTCCTTATAACATTATTTTAGAATCAAATAAGATAATGCATATAGAAATTATACAAATATAGGCATTTTACTTAGAGCATGGTATATTGGAAAGGGTACAATATTTAAAATCCAGAAGACTGAAGAGTTACATCCTGACTCCACCACTTATTGGCTACGTGATCTCAGGATAGTACTGAAACTGCCCCAGCTTTCTCTTTTTGAAAGCGGAATAATATCCTCTGTGCAACAGGACTGCAAGGATTAAAGCTGAAATTTTACATAAGAATACTTTATAAAATTAAAGCAGTATGTGGCATTAACATATACAAGTTTTCATATTTCCTACATGAAATGTCATTCATTGTGGTTAAATCTAAGGCCCTGGTGGCACAGCGGTTAAGAGCTCGGTTGCTAACCAAAAGGTGGGCAGTTCAAATCCACCAGCCGCTCCTTGGAAATCCTATGGGGCAGTTCTACTCTCTCCTATAGGGTCGCTATGAGTCGGAATCGACTCAACGGCACCTAACAACAACAGCAACATGGTTAAACCTTTGAAATCTGACAGGAAAACAATTTCTAAAAATAATATAAATGATTAAGAAAAAGGGGGGGCTTTTTAAAAACCGAGGTCACTGAAACTAAAATTTCTAGTATATCTTTACATAAAAGTGGAATGCATATATTCAAAATATTTCCCCACAGACTTTTACTGAATTTTAGGTTGCCTTCTATTTGCAGTTCTGAATCCTTCTAATGTATTTTCTATGCAAGGAAGAGAAATGTGTCAGTTATAAAAGTGAGGCCAAAGGGCCTTATTCTAAAATGTTTTAACAAAGCAATTCTTGAGTATGGGTATTTGGCCTGGTTATTCACCCTTTCCTACAAATCTGTGCCTCCCGTGGGCTTGGAAATGTCTCTATATCCTCCAGGCACAAAACCTGTTCTCCCTCTGTAAGTCTCATAGCTATTCTGTCTTCAAGTCCTGGAGAGTCTTCTTTCTCAATGTCCATTTTTTTCTATTCCTACTGCTACTACCATAGTTTTTTTTTTTTTTTTTAAGAACCCATTGCCGTCAAGTTGATTCCAACTCATAGCAACCCTAAAAGGACAGAACAGAACTGTCCCAAATGGTTTCCAAGGATCGGCTAGCAGATTTGAACTGTAGACCTTTTGGTTAGCAGCTGAGCCTTTAACCACTGGGCTACCAGGGCTCTGTGATTATCATAGTTTAAACTCTCATCATCTTCTGGCTGAAGTAACAGAATCACCGTCCAATTAATTTATTCCAATCTTTCTACTCTTACACCCCATTCTATTCATCACTGCTAAACTCAATTTCCTAATATCCTGGTTTTTTACTGTGTCACTCCCTATCACCAGAACTTCCCAAAAGTACAAGATCCTCAGCCTGGGGTACGGGTGGAGTCTGGAAGTAGAATAATTAGTCACCAGAAAAACAAGAATAAGCCTTTAGTGTCCTAGGCAGATGATGTGTCACCACCGAAGCCCCAGAACAGAAAGACAGTTAATATTAAGTTCACAACAATCTATATCCACTGAAATCAGAGGTGCAGGTAAAGAACTCAGGCAGTATTCTTACTTATTTAAAATGCACACATTTTAAAAAGTTTATATATTAGAATTAATACCTGAAACAAACAGTAATGGGAAAGTGCTTCTAAATGTGGAAGAGCCTACCTGATAAAGACAGGCTGCTGTTCCAAGGAAAAATGCAATGATGTAATTAAAATCCTCACCATCGCTCTGTGAAAATAAAATAAAAAGATTACTTTTTTTTCTGGTGGGAGCCCATCTCCACAAACAATCCATTGGGACAGGATCCTGACAATGTTTATGTATAAATGACCAAAATTTCACAAAGTGGTATATAAAAATTCTCAAGAGTCCTGAAATGGAAAAATGAAATATATCATGAGGCCCAAGGAGTGTGAGGGAGAGGAAGGCTGCAAGTGTTCCTCTACTTCTTTCCCTCCCAAGCGATTTCATTTCACCTACGAGAAAAAGAAAACCAATGGGAAAACGTTCCCACATAACGTAAAAATATCCCTTTCTCTCTACTTAAGAAACCATCTAAAAATGCACAACACCCCAGAGGCCTATAAAGCTTCTCCTGCTCACGAGGGTCACTGTCTGACTCAAATAAATATTGACAAACTTTACTATGTACTATCTAGCACTGAATTGTCCAATAAAGTAAGTTCATATGATTTAAAAAGCAAAACAAAACTGAAAGCTGAAAAGCTACTGCCCACTAGAGTGTGCTAAGTCCCAGCGAGAAAAACCAGGAGCAGCAGTCATGTACGCTATGTAGAAAAGCAGTCACCCAGAGGAAAAACAGCTAGATCATGCATAGAGCATTTCTTCTAAACCAAAAGTAAAGGAGATGTAACAATCCACACTTTCCTATCCATTTCTGGTTCTCTTACACAACTACACTTATCAGCATCTTATCATGTTACCTTTCTTCCAGGCAGGAGCATTAAATTTGCCTCTTGTCTTACTTTAGAAAAAAATATCTTGAAATAATGAAAATGCCCACAAGACAAAGGAGTGAGCATGTCATGAGCATGTCTCCGTGAAATAGTATAAAGAGAAAATTCCCTCCGGAACTGTTATTAGGCAACATAACCGACTGTATCCTGTAAAATACGATAAGAGTGGCTTATCCTATTGAGAAGACCTTAAAACAGGAACCATGAATCTGTCTGGGATGTTTAGGCCAGTTCAGCCCCAGAGGCATGGATGGTCAACATGAAACTTTTCCACTTTAATAGTTCTAAGAGTTTAAATAAACTCTGCTTGATTACTTTTTTATTTAGTCCTTTATTTTTTAAATGATCTTTTTTCTGATTATAAAGTTCACGTTTACCGCACACAATGTGGAAAATACAGAATGATACAAATTCATACAGTCTATAATACCATCATACAGGGAGAATTACTGCTAACCTCTTCATGTATTTCCTTTCAGCCTTCTCTAGATAATTAGACAGAGAGACAGATACAGATGACAGAGATGGATGGAATCATACTTTTATATAATTCAATCACTGTCCTACAAGTAGATATTATTTTCTCCCTAAATTTACACTATCACTTTACAGCTATCCCAATTGCCTGCAGAACACTTAAGAGCATGTTCCTGTTGTCAGTAAGACTTGGATCTACATCTTCACTTACTACCTGTATGATCTTCAGCCACTTATTTAACTTCAATTTCCTCTTTAAAAAATGAAGATAAAACAGAAGTTGTATAAAGTTAGTAACACCTGCAAACACACAGAACGGTACCTAGCACACAGTAAGTACTCAAACGTTCATAACGCCTCTCTCTGGGGTTACTATCGCTCATTTGATAATTAGGTTACCTTTCAGTATTGTTTAATATCTAGCATACTGACGTTATGTTCTCAATTAGATCCTAACCTTCTTGAAGGCAGAAAACAATCTTACTACATGACCTTGCATGAAACTGCCCACACAGAAGCGCACAAACACATGCCGAATTGAGTCAAGGTTTGAAAAATCTTTAATTCTACTTAATAAAGAGAAAATTGTCTATAAACTATTCTCTATTCAACAAACACTCAACAGCCCGTGTGGGCCAGTACTATGAAAAGACCTAGGAAAGAAAATAAGTCCATACCAACTAAAGGAGCTCACTCTTTAATCAAGAAGGCAGATACATAAACCAACAATTCCCACAAGAATTCTCTCCAGTTCTGCTGCCTAATAACAATTCCAAAGGGAATTTTCTCTTTATACTATTTCATGAAGACATGGTCATGAGAGACACTCCTGCGTCTTCTGGACATTTTTATTATTTAAAGATTTTTTTTTTTTTCCTAAAGTAAGAAAAGGGGCAAATTTAATACATAAACAAGAAAAAAGGAGAGAAAGGTTTTTGTTTTAAAGGTGAGGATGAAGAGATAAGCATCAATAGTCACAAAACATATTAGGATGACACTATTAAAATGCTAGTAATAATTAAGAAATATTAATTTTTTAATTTTAAGTGAAAAAAGGACACAAAATTATGTAATGGATAGGATACATACATAGAATACACATAGAAAATTTATGGATGATTTTTATTTTCTTCTTCATAAATTTTCCTCCCAATTCTTTGACAATGATCATAGAATCAGGAAATACTCTTTTATTTCTTTTGAAAGAAACCAAACACCGCAATCTAGCATAGACGTTATGCCACTAAATAAATTTAAAACTTCCTCGAGCTTTGACAGGTATTCAATTTCTTTAAAAAGGAAGAAGTTATGGTAAATAAAGAACACAAGGAATAAAAATAAGTCAATTGGTTCTGCTTTGAAGTAACCATTACAACAATTTTAGAATCAGAGAATCTTAGAATGTTAGTGCTGAAGTGGTCCTTGAGCTCACAGAGTTAAAACCTTCATCTTGCAGATTGGGAAAATGGCATCCAAGAAGATAAAGTAACTCATCCAAGGTGACGGAGCTAGTTAACGGCAGCTGGGAGTAGGTAACCTGACTTCCAGGTCAGCATTTTTTTATTTTCTTCAGAAGAACAGAAAAAAGTGAGTCCGTTTAAAGTTCAAAAACGGGCAAGAAATACTGTTGTTAGGTGTATGTATACATACAGGAATGTGTATATGTATATATGCACACCTCTATGTATGGTTAAGTGCTATGGCTTCTAACTAAAAGGTCGGCAGTTCGAATCCACCAGGTGCTCCTTGGAAACTCTATGGGGCAGTTCTACTCTGTCCTATAGGGTTGCTACCAGTCAGAATTGATTTGACGGCAATCGGTTTTTGGTTTTATGTGTATATATAAGGAGCCATGGTGGTGCAGTGGTTAAGCACTCAGCTGCTAACCAAAAGATCAACGGTTCAAACCCAGCCAGTGGCTTCAGGGGAAAAAGACCTGGCGATCTGCTCCCAAAAAACGTTACAGCCTAGAAAACCCCAGGGGGCAGTTCCACCCTGTCACATGGGGTCACCATGAGTCAAAAATCAACTCTATGGGTCCAGGCAAGCATTTCTACTGCTTTATCAAACACTCAGTTTTTTCCTAATGTACCACATGCAAATTACTTCTAGGCTGACATCAGCCTAATTAATATCGCTGTTTCAAGGTTGGGCCTTAAAGGAACACAGGCAATATAAACCCAATGTGATAAAAGCTCATGCACTCATGAGGTGTTAATTCACAATAAATTTATTAATATACCTAGACTCAGAGCAAAGTCCAGAAAAGAGTGAAAATAATCTAATTTACACATTCTGTGAACACCAAATCAAATTTATCAACTTAAAAAACAACAATAAAAACTACTTCCCCCCAGTCTGAACTCAGGTACCAAAGAAAAACTTCAGTGCTACATATTTTAATAAATCCCCTGCTGTCACCCTACAAGGCAGTTATTAATCTAGAAGAAACCAACGCATGCTGAATCTTCAAACAGCATTAACAATACTCAAAAATGTTGACTCATGTGGGTTTCTCAAATTTAACTGCCTCAGGCACATAGTTACATATTAGAAGATAAATGTGGCAATCGTTTTAAGTATTTGAAAAAAGTAGTAAGTATTCATGACCTTAAAAAAAAGTAAACTTTAATATCAATATATTGCTTACACTCAGGAAATACATTACATAGTTTCAGCTAAATATAAAAATATCATCCCAAAATAAATCCTCTGCTCTTAAATCAAGCATCAAAGAAATGTTTGGGCCCTTTAATCTGGGTACTGCTTTTCCGCCTCTTCTGTCACCACCATATCTGAATAACTCCACTGCAGGTAACTTTACAACAGATAAAGGTTTAAGTTTTGCGTCTTGGGATTTGCACTCTAGTCTACATGGCAGACCACCTCAAAAATATCTTTTACCAACCAAAAATTATCTACAGCTATTCTAGAGATTATTCCTAACACAAAATACAAAGACCAACCAGAGAGGAGGCTAAGAGTTTGTCTTAAGTTCAATGGCTTTAGTGAGAATAAAAAGCATCTTTTATCCAATACAAGTCATGAGTAATGGGATAATGGACTGTAATGAGGGAAAATTAAAAATGGGACATCTCAGGTCACTAGTTTTACATATATTTTCTTTCAGGTTAAATCAGGGAATAAAGGATGTACTTGTTGAAATTAGTTTGCACCCCTGAATCTGCCCTGCTTGAACTCAAGTTTATCACTGTGCACGTCTGCATTCTGACATCTGCATTTTTCCTTTTGTTTGCCTATATGGACCATTTACGCTGTCTCGGGTCAGATAACAAAGAAAAGCTGTTGAAGTAAATTTAGTGTAGGACAACAGTGAAAGAAAAAAATATCAACCATCAGAAAGACATCTTCAAAGACACAGCATCCCCAGAGTCCCCAAATTATAAATGAGCTAATACGAAAGACCACTCTAACTTTTTGCTTAACTGTGGCCCGACAGTTAAGTACTTGGCTGCTAACTGAAAGGTTGGCAGTTGGAACCCACCAGCAGCTCCACCCCATGGGAGAAAGATGTGGCAATCTCCTTCCATAAAGATTACAGCCTGGGAAATCCTATGGAGCAGTTAGTTCTACTCTGTCCTGTAAAGTCGCTGTAGGGTTGCTAAGAGTCTAAACTGACTAGATGGCAATGGAGGATATGGTTTTTTTTTTGTGGGGGGAGGGTATGTATGAGTTGGAATCAACTTCAGGGCACCTAACAACAACCTTTTGTTTATCTGTACTTACCCCATGACTCCTTCATACTCCACCATC